ATATATATGCATGCAGCTCTTATCAGGCTGTATCTTAGAAACTTAGATTGAGACCCAAGCATCTGTTTTAATGCTTCCTAGATTATTTCCTCACACCGCAAGAAGGCTTCTTTCTATAAGACTTACATTCCTCTGTCGTCTTTGTGCCTCCCACCCTGTGCCTTTGGGGGACTTTGTCCCATCCACTTGGTATAGCAGTCCTGTGTTCCTCCTAGGCTACGTTCTGCCCAGCCACGTGACTGAGGAGATGCTGTGGGAGTGCAAACAGCTTGGGGCGCACTCCCCCTCTACCCTGCTGACTACCCTCATGTTCTTTAATACCAAGTAAGTGTTCTAGAAGCTCCCCACTAAGAAGAGTGGAAACTCCAGCAGGACTTCTCAGTTCCTCCGATACACAATTGGAAATCTTTGAGCTCTTGAAAGCCAGCCTCACATGGCTGCATTAATTGTGTGACTGGTAAGGCAAACAGCCTTGCCAAACCCCTACCATCCATCTTATTGTGGCTTTTCTGCTGGACATTGTGCTTGGGTACAGGCCTGTCCAGACCCTGGGAGTGTGGGCATTGGCTCCTCTGAAGCATTGATGGGTGATGGTTAAGCTATGGTATCCTCCTGGCACCCCTCCTCTGCCTTGCTTTCACTTGTGGTACAGGTACTTCCTGTTGAAGACAGTGGACCAGCACGTGAAACTGGCATTCTCCAAGGTCTTACGACAGACAAAGAAGAACCCCTCTAATCCCAAGGATAAAAGCACGAGTATCCGGTACCTGAAGGCCCTTGGAATACACCAGACTGGCCAGAAAGGTAGGGGAAGAAGGCAGGGATGGCAGAAATAGATACTACTTGTCCTTCCCTGCCCTTGTCCTGATTAGCATAGTGATGATTATGAAGGTTATGGTTTTCTACTCCCTTTCTCTCTGGCCAAAAAGTTCAGACATTTCTTCTGGAAGCAGAGAAATGCTGGGGAAGGTAGCCTCTTTTCTTCCTAGTCACTGCCCATCCCTCATCCCTTTCATCCTCTCACCCAGTGTTTCCTAGAGGGGGAGGCTGAATGCCTGAGTTTCCTGAGCTGGGCCTGAGCAAGACAACCTAGTGCCAGGTCTGTGATGGTTGTGGTGGGTGTTCTATAGTTACAGATGACATGTACGCAGAACAGACAGAAAATCCAGAGAATCCACTGCGGTGTCCCATCAAGCTCTACGATTTCTACCTCTTCAAATGGTGAGGAGGCTTTATCCACTGGCTGATGCTGTGTACATGTATGTGTGTGTGCATGCATACTTACATAAAGATCTCAGGAGAGAAGCTTTCCCAAATTGAGAGTAAAATCACTCCAAAAAGGGAACTATAAAAGCAAACTTAGCGCTGGCATAAAAATGGTCCCTGACAGTCACTTTTATTGAAGAAGGTAGGGAGACACATAGATGCCACCTTCATCGCATTCTGAACATTGCTCTGCATCGTTCTGGTCCTGACCATTCATTACTGCCTTCTTTTATCTGTTCAAGGGACTTCTTCCCTCGGCCTAGGCTTCCTCTTATCCCTGAAGTTTGGTACGTGATCTTCACAACAATATCAGAAGGATCTTTACTGGTTGCAGATGTTAGTATATCATTTAGATTAAAACCTTCAGTGGTTTCTCATTACTCCACAAAAACAACTTTTACATGAACTCTTACATGGCAGCTGCTGGTGTCTATCCATGTGCCAGCAGCACCCCTACCCCCGCAATTTCTGTCCTGGTCTGAGACATCTACCCCAGTTAGCTTCTTCACACTCAAGGGCATCATGCTAGCTCCTCTCCATAAACACATGCTTTCCTAGGAAGCATCTCTAAATTCACTCCCTGTTCCCTCTGGCTTAATCACTTTGTGTGGTATTTGTATAACTTTAATTTCTGTCTGTCTGCTCCCTTAATCTGTATGCTTCATGAGACAGGAACTAGTTATTTTTATTTAGTATCCACTTAGTGCAGAACGAGTAACTGTTAAAGGATGGAGTGTGCTAAGTACTTGACAGAGTTAGAGCACCATGCGAGAGGAAGTAAGCCCAGGCAGGGGCCCTACATTATGACCATATTACTGAGTAAAGCAAACTGTGAACAAATCACTTGAAGACAGGAGTGATGACAGGTGGAATATAGACGGCCTCCAGTAGTCAAGCCTAGAGGGGCCCAAGGCAAGTGCAGTTAGTGATTGATCACATCTGGCTTGTGTGAAGCAGACTGTTAGTGGTTTGACAGTACCCGAGTGAGAGGTCCTAGAGGTGGTGTGTGGTATATGCATGGACTTCAGTAGCTGTACTGGGAGGTGGGAGGGTTGAAGTTATAATGGTATTTATTACTCAAGCTTTTACTGACATATTCTTTAGTCCCCAGAGTGTGAAAGGCCGGAATGACACCTTTTATCTGACACCTGAGCCAGTAGTGGCCCCAAACAGCCCAATCTGGTACTCAGTCCAGCCTATCAGCAGAGAGCAGATGGGACAAATGCTGACCCGGATCCTGGTGATACGAGAAATTCAGGAGGCCATTGCCGTGGCCAATGCGAGCACCATGCACTGAGATTCCTCAACCATGGTACAAGAGAAACCAGCCAGGAAAACCAGAAAGACTTTCACACTAAAGAAGAGGCCTCCATTTTTTTTTTCTTTTTTTATTGGTGTAGTTATAAAGCCTTTCAGGCTACTTCTGTTTAAAATGTAAAAGAAAACTTTGCCCCCTTTGCATCTTCATAGACCTGCAGCAGACTCCTTGGCCTATGGGGGCTTGAGGTTTCCTGAGAGCCAGATGTCCTAGAAAGTTGCTGGCTGACTTTTTTATCTGGGCCGGAGGAAAGGACTTGGACTGATAGGAAAAATGTGGCCCCTTCCCTTCCTCATGATGGAACTAATGATGGACCGACCTCCAGGGAGTCTTCCCAGCTGGCTGCCACTCTGGACTGGTGCACATCACTGACCACAGAGGAACCATGTTTTCTTCATGTTCAGACATAAACCTAGCATCTAATGGAAGAAAAGTGAGGGGAAATTCAATTATGATTTATTAAAGACAATTTCTATTACACCCTCCTTTGACAAATGACATTTTAGATGTTAAAGTAAAAACTACCATGCTTTTTTTGGCCTAACATTGAGGCCTTAAACCTGAGGCTCCTGTGCCTGATGGAATTCTTGTAACATACACTTGTGTATCATATAAAGATACCAATCTGTTTCTCTTATGTATTCTTACTCTAGTTGTTTATTAAGAATGACAAGCACGTCTTTTCAACATGCTAGTGAACGTCGCGTGTTTATTTGGGGAGGAGTCTGGCTCGTTAATGGAACAGGCCAAGGGGAGCGGGGTGTGGGGCGGACAGGAAATAACCTGGGTGCTCCGCAGAGCGGCGGCACGAACTACGCATGCGCTCTTTCCTCTCCGCTAGCTCCACCTCTGCCGTACATTGCCGGCTCCGCCCGCCCGCCCTGCGACCTGACGTCAAAGGGGAGCGCGGTAGAGTGACGGAATTATATTGGCGCGATCCAGACGGCGGAGGCCTCTAGCGTGGTTCTCGGAGACACGCGGTGGTGTTCTGTGTTGGCCATGGCTGACTACCTGATTAGCGGGGGCACATCCTATGTGCCGGACGACGGACTCACGGCACAGCAGCTCTTCAACTGCGGTGACGGCCTCACCTACAAGTGCGGACTTAGGGGGTCACATGGGTGGGGAGTGGGGCGGCACCCCGGGGTAACAGGCCAGATGGGGTCTTCAGTGGGGCCCCCTTGGGCTCAAGCACGGGGCCAGGATCCGGGAGTTCCTCACCTTTCCCGGGCGTGGGGGTTGGGAGAGCCATCTCGGCAGTACTCAGGATTTCTGGCTTGAGACTCCGTTATTTGGATCGTGGAATTGTCAGTTCGCGAGGAACACTGATGACAGTTCAGTGGCAGAAAAGACCCCGTCTTCATCTCCACCCTGTGCTGGATTGCCTGTGACCCATGGGTTCTGTGCAATTCACTACTCAGAGGCCTTACAGCATGGAGTTGGAGTCTCAGGGTGCCAGAAACCTGAGAGTTCTACTCCCAATTTATTCTCCTCTGCTGCAGCGATTTCCTCATTCTCCCTGGATACATCGACTTCACTGCAGACCAGGTGGTGAGTATGATCAGAAATTGGATGCTGAGCGTCAAAGTGTATTAAGGTGCTGTAGTTGCTTGGTCTCTGGACTTCCTTTCCACATTGGGCTTGGGGGTAGATTCTATGGAATGACCTTTCTGGTTGGCATGCAAATCATATAGAACCCATTTAGGATGGCTTGGTACAACCCTGAGGAGTACGCAGCATTTTGCCACACTAGTAGTTCTTTGTCTCTGTAGGACCTTACTTCTGCTCTGACCAAGAAGATCACACTCAAGACCCCACTGGTTTCCTCCCCCATGGATACAGTCACAGAGGCTGGAATGGCCATTGCCATGGCGGTGAGCTCCGTGGGGTTTGGAAGGAGTCACTGTCTCTCTTAAAAATATGCAAGCATACCTCTCTTACCTTTACTCATCTATTCCCTGTCTTTTGTTTATCCTGTAGCTCACAGGAGGTATTGGTTTCATCCACCACAACTGTACACCTGAATTCCAGGCCAATGAAGTTCGTAAAGTGAAGGTCAGAAGGGCAAGGATCATGGCCAGAACTCCTGGGAATTGTGTTGAGGTGGGGTGGGAATGGGGTAGTTCTGTTAGTTTAGGATCTTTTCTCTCTACTGTGGGTTGTTACTGAGAAGGGCCCGAGATCGTATTTCTTTCCCCCCCAAGATTTTTTCTTAAGCTAGCAGAACACCATCAACTGCATAGTGCCTCTAGCCCACCCATGTGTCAGAAAGGTTGATCCTGTGGTTTTGCCAGAGGGGAATTTTAGCCACAGACCCTATGCTTTACACCAAGAGCATGAATGTGGTTCAGAGGTACAATGTACTTTCTCACTATCCTTTCTAGAAATATGAGCAGGGATTCATCACAGACCCTGTGGTTCTCAGCCCCAAGGATCGCGTGAGGGATGTTTTTGAGGCTAAGGCTCGGCATGGCTTCTGTGGCATCCCCATCACAGATACAGGCCGCATGGGGAGCCGCTTAGTGGGCATCATTTCATCAAGAGATATCGATTTTCTCAAGGAAGAGGAACATGACCGGTTTCTGGAAGAGGTAGGTAGCATTGGCAGAGCATTGCTAAGCCCTAGCAGCCCCTTACAGAAGAAAGGTGGCTTCTTTTGTCCATCTGACATCTTGGAGGACCTCTTCTATCCGGGAAAAATTAATGTCCAGCCATATTTCTCACTGCTTTATAGGGTTTGTGCCTTCCTTTCCCCTTTGAGGGGCTTGCTAGTATTGTGTTCTTTGCTACCAAGGGAGGGGCAGTGCCCACGTGCCATCAGCCCTCTCCTGGTGCTTACACTGCTCATGTGTTGTGCACTACAGCATAAGGGGCTGCTATACTCTGGAAACTGTTGAGGTCTATAGAGCAGGTGTGGTCTGGATTCAAATAGATGAACTTGGTTCTGGAGCCTCCCTCTGAGTTAGGGTAGGATCTATGGAGAGGTTTGTACTCTGACTGGCCTTCATGACTTTCCTCCTTTTCAGATCATGACAAAGAGGGAAGACTTGGTAGTAGCCCCTGCAGGCATCACATTAAAGGAAGCAAATGAAATTTTGCAGCGTAGCAAGAAGGGTGAGTCCTAGAGGTAGGAAGGAGCCTAGAATTAATGTTCATGGTCCTGACTCATGTCTGACCTGGCTTTAGGAAAGTTACCGATTGTAAATGAAGATGATGAGCTGGTGGCCATCATTGCTCGGACGGATCTGAAGAAGAACAGGGATTACCCACTTGCCTCCAAAGATGCCAAGAAGCAACTGCTGTGTGGGGCAGCCATTGGTACTCATGAAGATGACAAGTATAGGCTGGACTTGTTAGCCCAGTCTGGTGTGGATGTAGTAGTTTTGGTGAGCTACTGCATAAACATAGTGGGATAGTAGGGGCATTTGCTATATCACAGTCTAACTGGGACTTCCTTTCTGTCCCAGGACTCTTCCCAGGGCAACTCCATCTTCCAAATCAATATGATCAAGTACATCAAAGAAAAATACCCCAATCTCCAAGTCATTGGAGGCAATGGTAAGAGTGAGACACTGGTCTTGGGGTTCAGGATGGGAGGAGCTGGGCTCCTACCTGGATCCTCACGTATCTTTTTCTTCCTTCACTGTAGTGGTCACCGCAGCTCAGGCCAAGAACCTCATCGACGCAGGTGTAGATGCTCTGCGGGTGGGCATGGGAAGCGGCTCCATCTGCATCACCCAGGAAGGTGAGAATATGCACCAGTAGGGCCTAGAGACTGTGGCTTCAGGTCCCATATGCCCTGGGGCCAAGCACTCTTATGGGAACTACACTGAGTTTTCCAAGATGGGCAACTCTGGGGCCAAACAGCCTCTTGGATGGGTGATATGGCTGGAAGCAAGAAGAGTTCTTGTCATCCCTCACCTACTTCCCTGCCTAGCCTGGCCTCCTTGCTCCTGCTCTGCGCCCTCTCTAAACTCTGGTCTGTTTGTTTTATTTAGTGGCTCCCAAGATCCCTCCAGACATAAAGTCCCACAGCCCCAAATGCCCTTCTACTGTCACGGGCTGCTATAGTAAGTCTGGCCCGGCCCAGCTGCCCACTGCCCGGCTGCTTGGTTGACTGTAGCTGTAGCTCTCAGGGTTTGTGGTGCTGATGGGTGGGCAGGGCAAACAGATGTACAGACCATGGTTTAGGGCTGCTTGGGATCACAGCTCCCTCTTCCTGGGTTGCTCAGAGCAGGACCTAGGCTTCGTATCTTATAAGATAGGCATGGCGCGAGGACCTACTCTGGAGCCTGCTCTCCCTTCCACATTACCATTGCCCTGATCTTGCCTGAGCTGCCCACTGTGCAGGGGAGAAGGGTTGGGCCTGACTTGGTGCCTCTAGGTACTAACTGCATGGAGACTCCTGTCCCATCTTGCTACCAGCTGGGACTGCATGTGCCTGAGGCTGCCCTGTGCCCTGCACACATGCACATGCCAGGGGTAAGGCCAGCACAGCTGTGTATACAGTTCACACCAGATGGGGCAGCAGCCATCCAGACACCTTCATCAGTCAGGCTGTCATCCTGGCACACATGTAGCCAAGAGCTCTTGGGTACTGAGGCTGGCTTGTTGCCTGTCCCCACTATCCCCATGCTTCTGTTTATCAACAGTGTTAGCCTGTGGAAGGCCGCAAGCAACAGCAGTGTACAAGGTGTCAGAGTATGCACGGCGCTTTGGCGTTCCTGTCATCGCTGATGGAGGAATCCAAAACGTGGGCCATATTGCCAAAGCTTTGGCCCTGGGGGCATCCACAGGTGAGGTCCAGTACCCTGGAGCCTGGTGTGACTCCTTCCCCATGCTGTTCAGACTGCCCTGTGCACTTTTTTCTGCCCATAGTCATGATGGGCTCCCTCCTGGCTGCCACCACTGAAGCCCCTGGGGAATACTTCTTCTCTGATGGGATCCGGCTAAAGAAATATCGTGGCATGGGTTCTCTTGATGCCATGGACAAGCATCTCAGCAGCCAGAACCGCTATTTCAGGTGACCAATCGCCCCACCCTTACCCTGCACTGCTAGGGCTCATTGTTGCTATGACTTTGCCCACTGTTTGCATCTTCCTACAGTGAAGCTGACAAAATCAAAGTAGCCCAAGGGGTTTCAGGAGCTGTGCAAGACAAAGGGTCCATCCACAAGTTTGTTCCTTACTTGATTGCTGGCATCCAGCACTCCTGCCAGGACATTGGTGCCAAGAGCTTGACCCAAGTCCGGTGAGCTGCGGTGGCTGAGATATGGGTAGTGGCTAGTCGTTCTAGGGTCAGCTATTTACTGCCTGTGACTGACACCTGCCCCTCTTCAGAGCCATGATGTACTCTGGGGAGCTTAAGTTTGAGAAGAGAACGTCTTCGGCCCAGGTGGAAGGTGGTGTCCACAGCCTTCACTCGTAAGTGATGTTGTCCTAGCTCCTGCCATGCCTTGTCCCACCTTCTTCTTGTGTTGAACTCATTAGGTGGTCTCTGCCTACAGGTATGAGAAGCGGCTTTTCTGAAAAGGAACCCATCATACCTCCTTGGTTTTTCAATAAAAGTTTGAAAATAAAAGGGATGCTTATCTTTGAAGTCTACAAATATACAGCACCCCGGTTCCCAAGGTGTGCCCCATGAACCTGGAAGGAGGTAGTTCTGGTTCAGAGTTCTACCCTGGACAGTCAATGGGACTGGGATCTGCTGGGTTAAGACATGAATATATACTCTAATGGCTAATGGGGAAAGCCACTGAAGTGCCCTCAAATCTGCATGTGAGCAAGCTGTGGAACTGTGATTTGATTTCTTACCACCACCTCACCACCACTAAAGCCCACTGATTCAACAGCCCATGGCCAACAACACACCTGATGAAAAATGAGATGTATACATTATCCTGGCAAGCAGGACATTGTTACAAAGTGCTAAAGGGGAAGAGGTCAGTGTAGGCTCTGCCACTGCCAGTGCCCTCATTGACAAGGGATAGGGGATAGGTTCCTGGCAGTTCATTCTGGAGCTTGGGCCGGATAAGCCAGTGAAATTTCTCCAGGTGGGGGGATGAGAGCAGCTCCCGCCACTCGGCGTTCATGACACAGGAAGTTGAAGGTAGCACAGGCATTGGGCTGCAAAGAAAAGGCCAGCATTAGCCTGCCGGAGGGTAGGCCATAACTCCCTGATGTTTCCAAGTTCTGGGACTAACCGTATCCTGCACTTCCATGGCAATACCCCGCTGCCTCATAGCCTGCAGTACCGGGGGATGCAGCCTCTCGGTCCTGTTTCCGGTGCCCACCACAACGATCTCTGGGGAAGGGAAGGGTGGGTCAACTACAGCAAGGGCATGAAGACCCGGATCTTAAGGCTTCAACCCTGTCTTCAGCCTACCTATTCTGGGCTCCAGCATCCAGAAGAGGGAGAAGCTCTCTTCAGTGATGTCCCGGTAGGATCCCACCTGAATGGGTAGGGGCCGATTCAATACAAATACAGGAAACCTTTTTCCCCAGGTCCACCTCGAGGCCACTGGAAAAAGCCAGGTTGAAGGGGCACGAGGAGGGCAGACTCACGTTCCACTGCAGCACGGAGTTCGGGAGCAGGGCGCACGGCCCCAGCACACGGCTTCCGCTGACCGTGAAGCCGCGGCTGCTGTAGCTTTCGATATACATGGCGTGCGGGAGCTCGCGCTGCAGCAGAGAGATGTGCGTCCGCTGGTACAGCTCGTCGTCCGCCGGCGAGAGCCGGTGCCAGCGCCTTGGTGTCCTGCGTGGTGAAGGGCAGGGTCAGGGCACGGGGAAGCGGGACTGGGCCCGGCGGGGTGCGTGG